CCGAAGACAGCACCTTGAAGCAATTACTAAACTCTTGAACAACAGAACGTCCGAGAATGGCTGTCTTGCAGTGCTGATCAGCAAGTACCATTCAACTGACCAGTCGCATTGACCTCTCGTGTTAATTTGGAAAGAAGAGTCTGTTCTGTTGAACTGGAACAAAGCTCACATTAGGCCGGTCTCGATTGCGACCAAACTGCAGTGACACTGGTATTGACATAATCAACAAAGTTCTCAAACTCAGTCGCTTCTTTTTGTACCGTGACAGGCGGAATCGGTGCACGTTTTGGCCGGGGTGGAGATCAAAACTTCTTATTTCGTCAAATCTTTGAACACTGGTACAGCTACTAACAGCTTACATTCATCTAATTCGGCCTCGGCCATTCATCCTGTTCAGCTGGAATTGCTGTTTTCGACCGTACTGCACGATGGTATAAAAAAGGGAGTATTTCACTCGATTCGCGCTTCGTACCGCATAACAAAAGTGACTTCTTCAGTATTCCCTTCAATCATGACTCCTAAAGAACTTATGACCAATACGGAGGAGGACGACCCAATTGCTCTCTCGCCTGGCTGCTATGGTTCAACCATACGTCTGAGTCGAGCTAACAGCCGAATAGTCTAAACTGTAATTTCGCCCGAACTCGACTTTGGTGGGCGACCACAACGATAAATTGATGGACATGATAGACTCGCAATCATCGGTCTATGGTCTTCAGTCTGCGGGGCTGATGTGCCAGCTGACCCAGCTTCACTCGATGATGTCCTCGTTAGGCGTTATTAATCGGTGACATGGAACCGGCTAGATCAGTTATGATAAATGCCGTTGTAGTTAGTCAATAAACTCTAAAGCATCAAGGGTTGTGCAAGTAGACCATCCGGACAGTCTGTTGAGTCCAACCCCCACTCAATGCTGTGGTAAGACTTTCCAATTTGTTTATGGTATCGTCTAAATTCATTCTTTTTGCGTTCCTATTAGGTTACCTCAAAGGTACTTATGTGACGCAACTCTCCAAGCTCCAGAAATAGACAGAAGATCGCGAGCGCTCTGTCTGTTGATGTCCAGAGCATAGTACTGCTTTATACCGTAAACAGCTGTTAATACTAACTAGAGAGCTAAACCGACTCGCATTTCTTGCCGGAAGAAACTTCATCTAAGACC